CAATTCCCTCCAGCATGAAAGAATCAGAAAATTAAAACCAGATCGCTCAATAATCGAGTACAGAACCAGTTCCTTTATATTATTTCATCACAATATATACATATATACACATTTGAGTACGGGGAGATGGACAAATCAGTACATACCAACAAAATTCCTTCGACGCTAGTCCTCATCCCCTCCTTCATGTAACTTAAACTCAAAACCCAAACAAAACATATCACAACAATGTAAACGATATCAATCAATTCGATCTATCTAGGGTTTAAGAATCAGAACAAAAAACGCACTTGACTTTCATGCGGGCAAGGCGATCAGCAACGGAGGTGTCTTTCTCCATTTTGGCCTCTTTAGAACCGAAAGTGTAGCTTTGCAGTGGATACGTGTTTACCACTGCTGACGACACCATTTTTGCTTCTCCGGAATTCTTCAACTGGCAAAGCGAGAAATGAGATGGCAATGGAGAAGGATAATATTGTTTTTAATGATCGAATTGAAGTCAATAAACAGTTGAAGGATGAAATAGCATTTTAGACTATAGATGGATGATCAAATTTAACTTTTGGAAACGTTGAAGGATGACATTACTTTTGACCAATAGTTAGATTACCAAAATGAACTTTTGAGAAAGTAAAAGGATGAAATTGATTTTAAACAATAGTGGGATTCTCGAATTGAACTTTTGAAAAAGATGAATGATGAAATTGATTTTAGATAATAATTGGATTACCAAATTGAATTTATCATAAAGTATGAAATATAAAATTGATTTTAAAAAATAGATAATGATCGAATTGAAAAGTTAATTAATAGTTGAAGGATGAAATTGAATTCAATGTATAGTTGGATTACCAAATTGAACATCTGAAAAAGTTGAATGATGACATTACTTTAAAATAATAGATGGACGAACAAATTGAAGTTTTTGAAAAAAAAAAAGGTTGAGGATTAAATTATTTTAAAGAATAGTAAGATGACCAAATTGAATTTAATAAATAGTTGAAACCAAATTGAAATTTTGAAAAAGTTAAAAGATTAAATTGTTTTTAAACAATAGTTGGTTTAATTTTTGACAAGGTTGGATGATAAAATTGATTTTAAACAATAGATGGATGACCAAATTGAAGTTTTCAAAAAAGATGGAGGATGAAATCATTTTAAATAATAGTTAGAAGACCAAATTGAAATAAATAGTTGACGGATGAAGTTACTTTTAAATAATTAATTGGAAGATGACCAAATTTAACTTTTAAGAAGACTGCAAGCATAGTTTTGAAACTCGGACCGGACGCCAACCCGGACGAGATAGCGGGTCAATGGGTCAGTGGTACAGCCGTTGACCCGGTGGTTCAACCAGCGGGTCAATACCTGTCAAATGTACTATTAATTATTTTCACTAAATAATAAAATTTTGTCATTTTCTACCAATATCTAAATTAACCTTATATTATTTTGTTAACTAAAGATCAACTTGTATCCCAAATTCCACAAATTCTAGATCATATATAGTGAAATATGCATTTGAAACAATAAAAACAATAATAGGAAAGAGTTAAATCATTTTCAGCAGAGACTTAATTTGTGAAGTGCAAGGGAGCAATTTGGTGATACTATAACCTTATAATCTAAATAGAGTCAGCACTTTGGGTGCATTTACCTATGGTAAAATATGGTCTATGATCGTTCTACTACACAGTCTATTTTCAAATGTCAATCACTTGGATAGAATCAAAAGTAATTTTTTGCTCCTCTGTAGTTTCGTCGTCTCAGTTAATCTTCCAATGTGAATGGTTCTTTCATTCCAATATGCGTATATTCTAATTTCTGAATCTCAGTTACCAAAATCTAAACATATGTAGATACCTGATTGAATTTTTATAGGCACTCGTATTGAAAACGAGGTGCAAGGAAAAAGGCAGTTGAAGCTCATTCATAGGAATGAAACTTACATAATGAACTCACCAAAAATCTGTCCAACATTGAGTTATTATGCTTTTTAGACATCTGTTATTTTTCTCTGTAGTATCTGGTTTCTTACAAGATTCAAACCACTTCTCTATTAAAAATCTGCAATACAGATCAACATTCTCAGAACTTCATATTCTTAATTCAGAAATTATGTTTTATATATTTCATTTGTTTCAATATTAGTTAGTATCTCATTTTTTGTTCAATTTTCTCCTCATTCAATATGTAGAACTGCTGAAAATGATTTAACGGTTTCCTATTATACGTACAGTTCTCAACCAAAATAAGCAAAATAAGGGTAAATTCAGGAACAAAAAAACAAAAACAAAAGAAAAAACAAAAGGGATTATTACGTACAATTCTCAAAATAGGCAAAATACCAAAAAATGAAGTCTTATATCCAGTTCTCAATGAAAATAAGTGTGGAAGGGGTAATTTCAGATTTTCCATGAATCGAAGAACAGGTTCAAAGAGGGTAAAAAAACGAAAAACAAAAAACAAAAATCAGACTTACCCGTTCTTCTTCCATCTATTAACACTTGAAATTGGAGATTTGGATATTAGGGAGTTGTTGAATTGCAAAGAGATTGAGAGACGGGGGCAGAGATTTTTATTTTCCAAGGAGGAAACGTGAACTATGAGGTCTGAGGAAAGTAGTGGTGTACTGGTGTCCAGCCGGCTCGGCCCATTGTCGCAC